GGCCTTCCCTTGATCCCTGAATTTCTCCAGGCGCACCAGTGTCATTCGCACTGCAGCCCGGGAATGTGGAGTCCAAGACGGTCTTCCTCCTTGTTGACTCCGGTCCCCGCAGGTATCAGCGCAAGTGTGACGAGCTGGAGGTGCGCGAGAAGGACTTCGGCTCCCGCTACGAGCGCCTCGCCAAGGACAAGAGGGAGATCGTGTCCTTCCTGAAGCGCACCCTGGACCAGCGGGCCGACGAGCTGGCCGACCTCGCCGACCGGCTCCTGGGGTTGCAGCAGGCCAAGGAGGCGGAGAAGGACTCCTTCGAGGCCCAGCTGGCCCAGCTGCGCCACGAGTTCCAGGAAAGCAAGGACCAGCTGACCTCCGAGAACATGGTGCTAGGTGAGGGGGGGAGGTCCCTGGGCTCACAGATCTTGCTGCACTGTCTCCCCCTGCTGGCTGTAACAAGCTAAGCAGTCTCTGTTCTCTGATGGTGTTGTGGGCGCTTCTTCATCAGAGGAGCAGGACACAGTCTTGTGCAGATTCAGTTTTATTGAGCTCAATAATGACAGCAACGTGCCCTGGGTCTGCCCCACAGAACAGACAAACTGCGAGGGTTTCCCAGCTCTTATATGCAGTCAGAAAGGAGTCTGTTTCACAAGCTGAGTGCTTGTCCTGTTCTTTGACATGGGGGGTGGAGTATGTGTCTTCCTATGATGCAAAATATGTGAATAGCAAATCAAAAAATGGCTTTGGGATCCTTTGAGATGAAAAGCCTTCTATAAAGTTAATCAGGTTACCTAGCTGTGGGTTGAGTCAAATTCCTGCAATGGAATGGAACCTGTGCAGTGCGAGATGCTGCCTGACCTCAGCCCTACTGTACCCGCAGCGGGGAAGCTGGCCTCTCTGGAGGAGTTCAGGGTGCAGAAAGAGGAGCTGATGGCGCATCTGGCCAGCCTGGAGGAGCAGCTGACCAAACAGAAGCAAGAGCACCAGGCTGTCATCTACAACTTGGAGAGGAAGGCAGTGCTGGACAATGACAGGTCTCCGACATCCCACTCTCTTGCTGCACCTCGGCCTCGATTACTTGCAGCTGTTGAACAGATGGCAGGAGTCTGTTGCCTTCGTTAGTTAGTTATCGGCGGCAGCTGGCTGTGAAGTTTCGTATTTGATAGCCAAGTCTATTATCTATGTCTGTAAATGCAAAACACACGTTGCGTGTCACAGTCAGTCAGCTCAGTGTTATTATTTTAGTTTTCCTGAAATGCCATCCTTAATGGTAAAATGAATTAAAACAAACTCAACGGTTGTTTCCAGGAACATTTAAAATATTCAGGATATATGACACAAAGTACCATATTTCCCATCTTGCAAATACTTGTTCTGGCTACGTATTTTCTAGCAGTGGTGGAAACACCGGATCATGGTGTATCATCTTTTATAAAACGTGTTGTTACTATGAAAAAGGTCAGCTGTGTGTCCTTGGTGACCAGTTTCCATTGCACCGCCAGCCTTGCTGATGGTCGGGTTGCTCACCGTCTCCCCCTGCAGGCTGAAGAAGGAGATGCTGGTGCGGGTGGCGGCCGTGGCCGCCGAGTTCCGGCGGGTGTCGGACCGGCAGATGGCGGAGACGACGAAGAGGATGATCCGGGAAAACGCGTCGGTGACGGCCCAGCTGGGGAAGCTGTCGGACAAGAGCCTGGAGCTGCTGGAGGAGAACCAGGCCTTGAGGGAGCAGCAGGGGCAGAGCAGGCAGGAGCTGGGCGTACTGGAGCTGGGTCAGAAGGAGCTGGCCAGGAAGAGTCTCAGCAATCAGAAGGTGCCCCCTTCGGCACAGCTCCTCGGGATGAGCTTCAGCTGGCTGCATCTAGTGTGGATCAGCTCCTTTCTTTTCCATCTCTCTCATCTTTCTTGACCTTAAACCACTGTGGCCCTGAATATCCAAAAAGAATTAAATATTGAGTATGTTACATGTATATAGACATTAGTGGGAAATGCTCTAGTTGCATTAATGTTGCACTGAGAAGCTGATCTGGACAGCATTTCTCATGCAAGAGGTAACATCTTCTCCGATATTAGTCCACCTTTTGTGGAACATGGCCGTCGTTTTTGTGCGTGTGGCAGCAATTGTAAATCGGTGTAGTAGAATACCTGGGAAAGGTGTAAAAGCTTAAATAGAAGTCGGTCTTTCCAACCAAGTTTCAAGGCATCTTCAGAGCTTCCGTCAAGTGTTTATCGAAGGAGTTTATTGCAGAAGTTTTTACAGGACAACCTGTTTATTGCGTAAGAGCTTCCCTTGCCCTTCAGCTTTAAAGCATCCACAGCAGGTACCCAAATCACATCACTGGCAGCAACAGTCCTGCATGATCGTTCAAGACAGAGGTGCATGACTCCATGCCTGAAGGGTCAAAGGTCACTTGGGTCTCTCCCGCAGGATCTAAAGGACTGAAGAAAGATTGGGATCCCAATTAAATCACTAATTCTGGAAGCAAGTTGGAGTGGGTTCACTCCTATATGTAAATGCAATGTCCTACATGTAAATGTGATAGGAGGAGCTCAGATACAATGAAAACCTGCAGACATTGGCCCTCCCAGATTGCAGCTGAAGACGTGAAGAGGTTCACGCTGGGTGGTCCAACTCTGGACCTGTGACGTCTGCGGGTTTTCATTCTAACACGGCTCTTTATGGCTTAGAGCAGCTCAGTGTAGACACAAGTGGGCAAACTTAGCCACTCCTCCCAGCTCTTCAGGTCCTGCTGTGGTTTCAGTTAAAACAATCTGCAAACAGTGGCTTTCCAGGACCAAAGCTGGATGCTGCCTATAT